CCCTTTCTCGTTAAATTGAGAACAATAAACTCTTGGAAGTCTGGGTAAAAGTGAACCGATTTTAAACAGTACAAGCTGCTAAAAGTAACGAGGTTACCGCAAAAGTAGGTATAATAACAAGTACAGTTACGACTGGTTTTCACGAATCTCAGGTATTTTCTTCCAAACTAGAACGCGTTGAGTGTGGAAGGAACTAATAGGTGATCACAGTTAAATCGGCTATTCTGATAGACTTACATCAAACGAACCGAAGCGCTGAGCGGCTGTATCGCTCACTGAAGGCAATTCCTGAGGCCTCGGCTTTTCCACACTCATTTCTGGAGCCAGTGGACGAGGCACGAATTCCTTCGGTGGTTCACGCTGGATCGGTCCTGCACCCCAGTTGGCTGTGCTCTGATCTGGACGGTAGAATGTCGCAACCGAAGGGGCATATGCTCCTCCTCCACCTTGAGTCGAGCTAATCTGGTCGTACTGTTGTGAATGCGGTGCCCGATATGGTGGCCCACTGGATGCCGAGGATCCCGGTGGAGATGTATACGGAGCTGATGAGAATAAATTTGTGGAAATACAATAGAAGAATAGAGAACAGTTGGAATAACAAGTTTCCGATGGACCTCTTCGACAGCAATGGCAAGGGTTTCCAAGTCCTTGACCCTACGACAGTGGTTCTTAAGCGCATCGGTTGAAATATCTCATCTACAGAAAATGTCCGTAAATAGCTGATGATCTACGTTGTATGGTTGGTACTTTGGAAAAGATATTCAGCCTATAAAAATCATACCAATATTGGATTGCAACCATTTTGACATACCTTGTTTTCATTCCGTAGAGAACTAGTCCCAACCCTAGTATACAAACTCCCTTCTCTCTAGTTTACGGTACAAAGGGTGACTGATTGTGGCAAGATGCTTGGAATAAATTCTGATTAATTATCTTCAAGAGAGACAACATTTCAAAACAAACATGAATAATCGTAACAATAAATATTATTTATCACGATTACTGAAAGTATAAACCAGGTATACATGGCAGTGAAAACTTGGCTGGCTGATGCGTTTTCGACTCGGCTATGCGATTTCGCACTCCATTCCCATTCGATGAAAGTCTATGTATGAACAATTTCCTCAAATGTAAAAGCAGGCCTATGGACTGATTTGGATAAAGCAAAATGGTGCAAAGAGCATGCAGCGTGTAGGTTTCCAGTGCGTGAAACATTGTGACAACAAATGGAAAACTCGCAAAATCTGTTGAAGAATAAAATCGAAACAGTTAACCCCAGAGGTTATCTGTTGAACTCAAGTCGACGTTAGGAAAACCCGATGGTGGTAGTCAGCTTATGTGATAGCGGGAGTGTTCATATGTCTGGGTAAATTGGGTGAATAATCAAAAAATGAAGAAGGGCAGAGGTGTAGCTCAACAGGTAAAATGTACGCTACATATAGACGTAGCCGGTATCTGTGTGTAGGTGCGAATCCCGGTCGTTTCCAAATGAGCTACATACAAAAACCATCCAGTTTAATCGATTGCATTAATTACCAAAACACAACCATGCTTGTGCAGCCATCAAGGTATGAGGATTTATAAACATTCTAAAGTAACAGCGTGCGTATTTGCTGCATGAAATAGACGAGGGTGCACTAGTTTGGGGGGGGGGTGAAACCGGAGAGAGTGGGATGGAAAACGAGTACACAAGTGACTCTTACCAGCGCCATTGTAGTGAGATTCAGCATTCCCGAAACGGCCCCCAGGTCCGACATGATGCTGCAATGAACAACACATCAGTGGTGGTGGTACGAGATATGGTAAAAATCAAAACATAACAACCACAATTCTAGTAACTTTGGAGAAACCAAACCAAAGAGGAAACAGACAAATATTTCAACATTAAGGCCTTTCGCAATTTCCACAAATGATTAAACAATCTGTAACGTGCAATGTTCACACTTAAAACAAATACTTGTGCCAAATGAGATGGCACGGTAAGGAGTAACAACGGAACTATTCAAATGATGGTTCTCGTAAAAGACGGTGAACTGGGCAGTGTGCAGTTAATGTGAGAGGAACAGCAGCGGCAAGCTTGAATTTAGTCGGTCACTCTCTTTTGCTGCGAGTGAAACCGTGGTTGCTTAGAACAAGTACTACGCAACCCACTGATTTAACACACTACGCTACGGGTGGTGGTAGTGCAGTGGTTTAGTGGCTGTCACTGGCGTTCTCTAGACCCTAGGGTCCAAGGTGTGAGCCCCGCCACGGTTATTCGAATTTGGTGGTAGGCAGCTTTGCTGTGGTTCTGTTCAATACCAAACCTAACCTATTGAGGCCTTGTAGTTTGCCACGACAAGTCCCTGAGCTTAGGTTACCGGTTTCCATCACTGAACAGCCGATATTGGTGACTATGGGGTCCACCGTAGTTGCCGTTCACACTGCCCCGCTGCCTGGCAGCGATCAGTGAGGCTCGCTTCACTGTATCTCGCTGAACTACGATGATGATGATGATGCCCCGCTGCCTTGCGCGTCGAGCTTTGGTTAGCCGAAGGCTCCGGTTGTGAATTCCCCAGGAAAATTCACATGCCATAGCCTGAGCGGGTGAGCCGTATCGTACGTTCGAGCATGAACATTTTTCAGTTTATAATGACTGTTCCGTGATTTGTCCGGCACACACGTGTGTAAAGCTAACATATAAATATAAGCAGAATTTGACTGACGGATTAGAACTAAACATCCCTCAGACTTCATCTTCACGCAAATTCCTCAGCCCTTCCAGTCAACCATACACTTGGAAGCCCTAGACCCAAGTATCGCTCCTATTAGAGCTCACCAATAGTGTATACCCATGGGATTTGAACTCAGGGCCCATAGCATGGAGGGCGTGTTAACAGTGGGCCAACCAGGGCTGAACGGGATTGTCAATTTAGGTTTGTTCCGGTGTCCTTCTCGGAGATGGTCAGTCAGTTCAGTTTGGCGCGGCAGCAACGAAATGCGAATAAACAGAAGTGGGTGTAATAAAAACTAAACACCCGAAAGCCAACACACATGAGTAATGGAAATCCACTAACAAACAAAGTGCGTATCGATGGATCAGATCAGGATGAAAGTAGTCAGAATAGAACATTATGTACATATCAGTTTTTACTGATACGGCCAAGCTTCATGCTATTATTTGTACCAAATTTAGTACAGCCTGCTTCGACCAAGGGTACATTCTGAAAAGCACTATTCGATTGCTTATTGCGCTAAAAATGACAACAGCACTATCAATTTGCCCGTTTCGTCATGAACAGGAAGTGTTGTGGAAAAACCAGTCCTACTACTGGTTGAGATTTGACTATGTATTGCACGAGTCCGGAAGATGCTGCTATGTGCTTCAGTGACAACCGTTATCGGACAAGGGTAATCGCAGACTATCAGTGGATGAACTCCGTCATCTAAGTGGCATTGTGCAAGTTTCATAGCTGGATAACCGGATAAAGAGTCAGCTCATTTGTCTATGACAGATGCAGAAGTAAAACTGAATAAAACGTCTGGAGAATGTAAGATTACGCGCGCACATTGATGAAGCAACCCCCACGGAATGTCCTTAAGTTGCAAAACAGAAAACGACGGAGAACATGTCTTTCTTTTTTTGGAGGGGGGGAACTTTGTTCACGTGTGTTGTGAACTGAAGTCATTCATCCGACTGTGTAAAATATTTGAATGCCTATACTGGATGCAGGACGCATCTGATGAAAGCAACATCAGTAGATTCCGGATACATCGAAATAGGTGGTATCAATGACAGATTGGAATCGAGATTTATGCATATAACACTATTTCCTATGGGGGGCACACACCAAATCACGGTGGGGAAATTACCACCCCCGATTAGATGCGTACCACATCATTTATCCTTGGGAAGGAGAAATTTTTAAAACATACAATCAAACACCATTCATCAGATGCCACTTTTGTCTATTCTCACACAGTGAGATATGCGTTCATCTCCCACTGATGTCCCATGAAATTGGTCATTGATTCCGGTAGTAATCGACGGCAGGAATTGTGATACGCCAAACACAGGGATGCTGATGATGATCTGACGGGCCTAGATACTTGATCCGTCAAAATGGATACAACCAAGTTTAGCAGACCGAACTTTCGGCAGAAACTAACACGCCGGGTACAACCCAGTCTCTAAAAAAGTGGCGATGCGAGGCGGGATAAGTGAAGCAAAGCCGTTTCAGAAATACCGTGCAAAACATTGGAAAGGTGCACATAAGCCAGAAGCTAAATTAAGCTTTCTACAATGTACCTTTCAAAGACAGATGACAGACATGTTTGTGCGCACATACAGACACAAATACACAATCGAGCGAAGCAGCAGTCCAATAAGCTTCAAGCCTCTTGGGTGAAGCGAACACGGGATGGGGAGGAGGATGGAATAGGGCAGCTTTATGGACCGTAGTACATCTACCAATGGGGGTTTGAGATCAAGCGTGTGCGTGGGGAACAACCTGTAAACACATTCACAAGTACACTTGCACAATAGCACAAAAACAGAAACACACAGGCACCGGATAAATACAATTGAGTCACGTGAATTTACCGTGAACCTAAGAAAGAGAGCCAAGTGAGTTCTCCCTAAAACGAGAACACCTCTTTTCGTTTTTTCATTTTCTTTACTTTAATTGAATATACAAAGATACAATTTTCAGGAAGAGGGAAGTGGTCGATCAAAGGACTAGCACACAACAGAGCGGGTGAGTCAGATGGTGGTGATGGGATTCGAATGAACGTTCTCCGGAGTGATAATTTGGTGACCTTACCACCGAGCCATCACCGCCCTGCAAGTTTATGCGGGTAAAATTAGTGTTGCCCAGCCTACGAGACCACCGACGAGCACGAGTGGACACGTGGTGACTTCTATGAGTGTCAATTATATCAATGTAAGAAGAGACTTCTGAAAAATGTGCTTGAATACAGAAAAAGAAGCATAATCTAACGGGTTGGAGGAAACGGAACGTTGATCCAACCAAGTAGGAATTACTTCTGCGAAGTTGCATCATTTGTTGCTTCAGTTTCTCGGACAGTGTTACCTAACACGACCGAGTTGAAATGCAGTAGCACGAACTAGCGCAAACTCGAATTCTGTAAGCTTTTCCCTCGAGGGAACTCGTGCAGCTTTATTCTGGCCTGAGGCTAACAACCAGGATGCAAGCAAAAATTTCCAACAAGCTTGAAGAATTTCACCGCACAACTATGCACCGTGATTTTCTTCTTTGGCACGGTCCGATATCGGTCGTATATCCCTCTCTCACACACCTTGACAGAGCCTAAAACTCGCCAGTGATTTATAGTTTCCTGTTGTGCGTGAGAGTCGGATGGATGAGCATCATGAAATTTCCGTGCGTGAAACAGCAGATACCGTGGACTTAGAGGTCAAATGCACAATTCATGTAAACGAATTTACGTTCCAAATAAACCATGAAAAATGATCGAAGAGTCAATTTCGATAGGCGAAAGCATAGTTTAACTGACGCCTCGTTGCACTGAACAAGATTATTGTATGTACTAGTTCGTTATAGAAATGAGAAAAAATCACATTAAAAGTGTACAGTACCCTCATGAGTGACGATAGACTAAATGGAAAGCCAGAACAGCCGGAGAACAACTTACCCGTTTGTTTTCGCAGGTATCGAAGATACTGGTTCATTTGGACGAATTTCTACTTATACAAAGTAATTTTAAATCAAATCCGCTCTTCTTCAGATAACATTGAAAAGCGATTCAAAAATGCTACAAGAATCTGCACAGTGGCTAGTTAGGAAGAATGTATTGGATCTGTACGGGAAAACAAAGTTGGTGTTCTATCTCTGTCATATTAGATTTGTTATTCAGGGATTATGTTTTCTCCTGGAACGTGAACGACTATTGGATGTTTAACAAAGTGATCAAAAACAAGACAGTGGAAATCACTCTCATCAAGATTGACATATGAGATCTCATAAAGCACAATCAATCTACCAGCAGTGGTCAAAACAGCAGCGCACTCGGATATATCGGAGGATCTTGACGCAGACAATATTCACATGCGCATAAAATCGAACAGCGTCGTCGTCGACGAGGAAAAAAACATTTCGACACAGGATTAGACAGACAGAAACTTCTAGATGCACAGTAGGGAACCATTCTGCCAACACAGATGGAGAATCACTTGCAAGCTGTGTTACATGGAACAATTCAACAAACCGTGGCATGGAACTAATTATTAAACTTGACCCGTTATAAAGTTTGTTCGAGCAGCGACTAGCGTTTGGTAGTGGACAAAACGAAAACTAACGAAAAACGCTCAACCCCTTTGTAGTCAAGAGTGACGGAAGATCAGAATTGGTGGGATGAGGTTCAAATAAAGTATGCATAGTGTTTTATCGCGCAACAACGGAGCTAGTTACAACTGAAACGAGTTGACGGTGAATCCAGGGTATTGTAGAATATTACATTATCATAGTGAAGTATAGACGCTGGTTCAGACCCGATGTCAGCCAGTCGATTAGATCGAGGGGGGGGGAGGTGGGGCAAGAAGCCCCGCGTTTGCGTCACGTGAATGCTCAATTATACTCAAAAAATACTGTATTGATTAGAATTGCGACTGACTGTAGTTGTGGGTCATGACGGGAAGAATCACATGTAGACATCGGTTGGCAGTATTCAGTTTATAAAACCATTCATTAACCTCGCAGTTCTATGCTACTGAATTGGCAGACCGATGATGAAAATAGTGAACGTAAGAAGGAAAATACTGAGAGAGGTATGAAGATATAGAATGCGGCAGATAGGTTTTGTTTTGANTGTTTTGAGTTTAGTACATCCGGGGGCAATGACAGACAGGGTTCCGGACCCCGAATGTACACTTACCGAACCATACGGAGAACCGGTAGTGCCCGGACTGGATGTGTTATATGACGGACTTGAACCACCTGAAGGAAACAAAGGAACCAAAACAAGGAACATCATGTTTTGTGAACCGATAGTCTAAGAAAAAAGTGTAAATCTGGAGAAAAACCTATCATCGAAAAGACTTAAATGTGGGACATTTCAAACCACGGGGGAACGGGGTAGAAAACAAGAGCAGTCAGGGTTGTGTACGGTTTTCTGAGTGCAACATAGCTGGGCGGGCTCCATCAGGCGGGCGTGGTTTCACTGATACGCATTAATTTGGACACCGTGTTGATCACAACGGCACAAAAAGCAATGCATCCCTGTTTAAGATTAGACCGACCTGGCTTTACTGGACAAAAATACGCCGGGAAACGGCACCGATGCACAGACGCAAACAAATACATGCACAACCCGTAGAATAGATCCACCAACCAGCCACCCATAAATGATCATACAGAAAACGAGATATCCACAGACTTGAAGCACATCCAAAATAGGAACAGCTGGACTACAAATGACATGGTATAAATCAGAACTTCTTAACTCCGTAGATGGATTCATCGAGGCTCGTAGTTCGCAGAGTATAAGGCAAACAAAAATGCAATTGTTTCAATAATCAGCTATGAGACGAGAAGGGCGGTTATTGTGATGTGATATATATAGACATATATGATCAAGACTGAATTGATCGGATGACAGATATAGCCAGAGAGGTTCAGTACAGTTTTCACGGCCATTAAAGGCGGTGCTGGTAACTGAAATCGATCCCAAATCCTCTCAACAATGTTATTGCGAGAAACTGATGCAAGGATAATGCGGTGTACAAAGTCAAAGGAAAATGGTGGAAAAATAAAGACAGGAGTGATGCGTTTAGGACTTACATCACCGGTCAACGCAGCACAAGTCCCGATTTCATTTAACCTAACTAGTATTTCGTGCAGAAAGACTACAGAAACTCCGGATTGTTCTGATATCCGTAAGACGATATCATATATAATCCACCTCTCTAGTATACTGTCCTTCACCCATCGTTAAAGTGTTGCTGCTTCCAACCAACCAGCGCCATGATATGGCATTTTGGTTCACTATTACAAGACTGTTTCTTATGTACATACGTATATATTCTGGTATAACAATTTTTAAAACAAGAAAGTCGGTTATTGATTTTCTCGAGCGCGGAATGCTGCCAAGCACGTGAAATTTCCTGAAGGGTCCACAGCCACAAGCTGCGCCTTATCCATAGAGCAACGGGATGGTATGTCAAAGCCGCAACACATTGGCGGCCAGTATCTGATTCCCAGATCACATACTTCATGCGTGATTCATTCGTCCAGTGTGCCCAAGACACCCTATCAACCGATCTAGTCGGTAACCGGGGTATCTAGAACCAGTTCTTATTCCCCTTTCTGGTGGATTCGGAACAAGGGTCTTCCAGTTACTTTGAATCAATTAGCCTCCTGTGGTTCACCAACATGTCTATGATCCCGACCATGGATCTTTTGACCCCTCCCGTTGTTGAAAAATACCATCACTATGAGAAGGCAAAGAGTAGGGCCTCTTCAGCGAATGCTTTGAGATACGCGCTCTATGAGAGCATATTTGTGATAAGAATGATGTTCCATCAACCGCTGAATAAACGACATAAAAGGATAAATGCATGATGAGGTTCGATTTCAGTAAACACAGAATATTGTTCACTTCAAAGAGTCACCCAACGTCTTTTACTTCTATGTTTGGTAGATCAGACCAAGTGAATAAATCCCATGAGGGGAAAGTCCTATGATGATGAGAAAAAACGCCCAAGTGCGGACAGCCGACTGCTTAGCTATGGGAACTGACCCTGATTTCAGTAGAGGAACTCAATACACGCCTCCATGTGTAGTATTCAGTGGGAAGGCCGTACAGTTGCAGCCATCAAATGTGAGCGTCAGTGACCGCGCTCAATTTCTACACAAGGAAACAAATAAAACATCAGTTATCAATCCTTTGAGTAACTGTATTCATCTGTTTATTAGGTCCAAATTCAAGGTCACTGAAGTTGCGTGGTTTGATTATTGACCCGCATAGACCTCACCACTTTGACGGCAGAAAATTTTATCCTTGTCCGGCTCAATACGCAGAGGAGCTAACTGTGACTAATCGCACCGAATCCCGAGGTTTACGTTACTCGCTATCATAACGGTCATTGCACCCACTGAGGTCAATTTTTCGTACTTTTCATTGCATCAGTGCGATGACAATAATTGTAATAAAATAAACAGATTGTCCATAACCTTGGGTCAACCTCGAGAAGCATCTTTAGACCAACTTGTAGTACTTTGATGATGGATAAACAATTGCACTGATCATGGGCTGACGGAATTTTTCGGTACAGTGATCGGAGTACGCGTAAATTGTAGTCAGCTCAAGTGGATCCTACCTTGACAATCAATGAAATCAAACCGTTTGCAACATTGTGGATACGCAAACCATTGACCACAGTCCATCGAAATCAAAAGCTGTCCCGTATTATCACCAACATGACCACCACAGCTATCTTACGTGGGCTGGTCACACACGGTTCGACTATTCCTATTTCACATCTTGAGGAAGAGAGGACAATTTCCGCAGTGGAGCAGTGAAGTCCGGTGATGAAAGGGGTTCACCTGTTCAACTGGTTATCACGTAGTGGTCCGCAGAGAAACACGACGATGATGCTGATGCTGATGATGATGATGAAGTGAACCCTTTATTGCGTCACAATTCAGAGAGATCCACCTATCCCTAGCTTCTAATACAAAGAAAATAACCAATGGGGCTAAATGAATGGATAGATGAATTCTAATCTACCCACAAAAGTAACCCAGTCTGTCAATCAAACCGCAATCCGGATCGGATGGGATGATATCGATAGGGAGAGAGGTTTAGGTAATACCACAGCTGAAAGCTATCATTTCAGTCCTAGTTAAGGAGAAACAAGGGATGCAAATGTTCATTGAATTTGGAAACAATCCAAACTGGCTGGCTTTTTCCTCCCCCACGCCCCGAATCGAATGTTCAGTAGAACTATGTTCACGCTCTATTTGGAACCTTTTTTGCACATAGTTTCTTTTAAGGTCACATTCATGTAATACACCATTCACACACTGGATTTCAGGTTTCATCAAGTTCTTTAATTGGTGTAGTATTTAAGTAAACGAAGGTGGGGTGAAAAATGGCCGATGGCAATGCCTCTGGCGCTGATGATTAGCTTCTTTAGTGCACATGTGTCAGATATTCTACTGAGTGAGCTAAATTCTTTTCAGAAATATGAATGCTGGCATACACAAACACACAAATCATGGGGAATGATGGGGAAACGAGCGAGTCAACAGACGCGAACGATTGATTTCAATCCAATGTCGAGAAAACCTTCTTAGTGAACAAGTATTTGATGGAGGCGACAAGAGTGATCCCAGACATTTGAATCAAAATAAACCGGTTTCAGATACTTTGAACTTCCTTTCTGCTAATGTTTAGTATACCAATATGCTATTTTCACACTTTACAGAAACCGTTTTGATGCATCTCCGCTTCCATTCGAGCAAGTGGAACCTGAATCAACATGGCGACTACAATACGCTCTAAGAATGTAACCGGACTGACTTACACCACTTTGGAGTGCGTAAGGTATAAAACCGTTCAGCTCTCTTCCATGAGACGCTAACGATTGTCCAAGGGGATAAACTCACTACAGGATATACCATTATGATTGTATGCCTCGATCAGTAATTACTAAATAAAACCGGATAAGTGGAGTTTAAGATTTATAATCAAATACAGAACCGCAAAAAAGTTGATTGTGTAAAGCGCTTTTCTTTGGACAATATTTTCTGTGTAATAATAATTTCAATAAAATTTATGGAAGTATGCCAAAGAAAAATAAAATATGCGGGTTGAACGGCAACATGTGATGTAGCAATAACTGGTCAGTTCAATCTCAGAACTCCTGCTGGAGAAACGGGAGCAAGGTCAAGGGTGAAGTCGGTGTCGTATCGTCCAACAATTGAATTGGTCGCAAGATGGAGCGTTATAAAATTGTGTTGGAATGGGATCTGATATTTCCCTCTTCCAAGACTGTAAAATGGATCCGTGAGAATGAGATCCACCACTTTCAGTGTTTCATAACATTTCATAAAAAAGACTAATTTAAAGCGTATTTCGCAAAAAAAATTGCAAGTGACATTTGGAATAACAAGAGACAGTTAGTTCGTGCATATGAACGACTTGTTTACAGAATCCGTTTTCACATAATTTTCAATTTGGAACCAAGTGAGCGAATACATAAAAAGAGATGTCAACCACGGTGTGGATGAAAACCGGAAATACAAAGTGCCGACAAACACTGAGCAAAACGACCATAATACATCAAGTCAGGAAAAAATGGATGGTAGTTGTCAAAAAAACGCTGTGAGACCAGTATTCTACTGGACATTGGAAACCGCTGAAAGCAAACGTTACCATAAAATTTAGTAAGCAACCAAATGAATTTGGCCTGATTGAAAGCGACCCTCCCAGTTCTGTTGGAATCGCTGATCTCATCTTTGCTCCCACCTTTGAACTAATCCCATGACAGCAACTAAGTGAGCACCAATGTAGAAGTCAATTAAACCAGCTTGATTTTGATGCACAGAAGCACCAAAGTAAACACTATGTTCTACATCGACCCAAAACTATTGCCGAATTGATGCGCAAAAATGTGTTAAATTTTAGTGGGTTCCATGTGAGAGCTGTTCCAAAGTGAAATTTCTATGCCTCGCGCGATTGTATCAGGGAAAAGTGAGTTCGTCAATCAAACAAACCATTAGAGAAATATATCCCCAAGTAGAATAATCAGACAGGTTGCTTTAAAAAAGATGTGATATGAACTGGAACCGCAAGGTAACGGTTACTGAAGCAGCTGAGCTCAACAGAAACCTACCCGGCCCAGTAGCCATGCGAACATCAAGCGCTGCATGTTCTGGTTCCATCAGCCCAGAAAATGCCTCGGCAATCAAATCAGGATCGGCGCGTTTGTACATGGCACAAAGCGGGGAAATGTGTTGAGAAAAAGGACCGCAACAGAACAGATATCACAGAAGCCGAGGAGAACGAGGTAGAAAGTTAAATTCCAGTAGCACAAACGTATCACACTGTAACCATACCCGACTTGCCTAACTATGATATGATCATAGCACATAAGTTTGAATACTATTCAAACGGTGTTTATCCGAACGAAACTGTGTACGTCCAAGGTCATGTGCCCCACTCCCACAGCTGGTTGATTGGTTCACCGCGCAACTTGCGTGGTGGGAGAGGAAGACAGGCAGTAGATTGCAGTTGGACCATTTGATGTGGGTGTAAGGGATGGTTAGGCGCATTGCACTGATTGGTTGAGCTATGCGGGAATATACTATGTGATACGATCGTGTGTGCCTTCGGGCATATGGTCACACTAACATCTGAGTAGTTTTGGAAAAGATTACAGCAGTATAGGTCTTTTTAGTGTAGCGTCGCAGGTGGTAATCCCAAAACCCGAAAGCCTATGACGGATAAGCAATAAAGCCTATGGCAAAAGAGATGGACTCGGTAAGTCCAGCGATAAAAAATGTTTGCGAATCGTAGATAAGGTGAAATTTTAAAAAAACCTCGAAGGGCCCGACTACCAACTAACAAAAGTAGCATATCTTTCACATGACATGATGGGAAGTGTTAATATACCTCACTCATTTACCTATCAAAATAATAGCACTGTTAGAAAATGGACCACGATCTAACTGCAAAATTCGAGTGATAAATCAGCATATTCCCGAAAAGTCATCACAACAAGTCATCGACAACAACAACGAGGGGCACAAGCGAGGTTGTCACACTGTTCGTGATCTCACACACAGCCATTTTATCTTGGAATTTAGACAGAAGTATATAACAAAAAACTTCAATGATCTGTAACAAAAAGATCGAAATGTCCAAAGAAATGAACGTAAAACAGCTAGGACTCTTCTCAAGGCATGTGGAGAAAATAGGCCGAAGTGAGTTTAAATGGACTGCGCGAAAACTAAAATTACATTTATTGGGAAGATACTACTAAATTGAAAATTGTCAAACCCTCAGAATTATGTAATAAATGAGTTAACCAAGAAAGCGCGAAATTCGCTTTCGAGCTATGGCACTAAGGCAATGAAGCGACGGAATGAGGAATGGTTTTCAACTGTAACGCAAAATGAAATGGAAATAAATCTGATTAAGATTGAGTTTTAGATGGATAGAGGTAAGAGAATAAAGAGGGCTCCAATCGGGTCAAGAAAGCACTGATCCTAAGAGTGCGAACTGACTCCTGTGGATGCAACACCTCATCCCGTGATAGACAATTCTACAACTGAACGAATGAAACAGTACATGCTGAAGTCAGAACAAGAGTAGACTCAAGGAAGAGTAAACCACTTTAATCGTGCACGACATACGATGAGCTACCAAGGCCATCCATTTTATCGATATAGGACCAGACAACTAATCAAATAGCTGGGTCAGTGGAGAACTCTGGTAAACTGTGAGTAATACTAATCGCCGTCCATTCCGAACCGAAATAAACTAATGGAAAAAGTCGGCTCATAATTGTTTGAAAATCCTAGGGGGAGGGGTAAGGTTAAGTGTAATTGAACGGTAAGACTGACAAGGAGTACACTAAACCACAACAAAAAATCAGCGAACTTGAAAAGAACGCTGTATTTGGATTTTAGCTGAGTACAGCATACACTTCGAACCACTGCAAATGAGCTAAGCAATGATACGGAAAAGAGCGATAGTTCACTTTCGGAATCACACACGGCTAAGAATATAGTTGGTGGGGAACCACCTCACATAGAATAAGACAGCGGTATGCAAACAGATCGATGTGGATAGGCCGGCATGACATGCTTAGTACCCGTAATAACCGTGGCGGATCACTCACAGTAAAAAAATGTGAATTTTCGCTCGCGAGAAATCTCACATTACAGTCGCAAAAAGCACTCAGAGAGAGCAATCATAAGTCAGAATTCCTCATAATTGCTTTATTCCCCAAGTCCGATGACAGCATAACAATAGCTCAATTTATGAACAAGATAGCGCATCGACTCATGTGTTTTACATGGGGAATTTCGTGCTTGCTGCTCCGTAACATTGGATGGACCGCATGATTATGATTCAACTCACATTTAGAATGTGTTAAGGCATACAGAAAAAGAGTGCGTGCGTGGGAGATAGACTATTCACACCATTGATGGGTTGTAGGAAGTGACCGTTTATTCTATTCAAGCCTATACTGGCCACGGTGCGTGTGACCTACTTCACCTATTCCATTACTGATTGTCTATTACAGTTTCTTTTCTCACATTTGTTGCTTGCATCCGATTTTATGCTGCCCGGATTACGTGTTGGTGTTAGATTGGGTCTATTTGATCATCAATTCGTTGATCCACTCATCCAGACATATATAGATCTAACCCTAGCAGCTCCATACAGGTAACTTTGTTCCACGCACGCATATTCATGATCCAGTTTCGTCGTCATGATCCACTCTAACGTCCTCACCTTGAACCCGTAACGCGTAAGGCTTGGCCGCTAGTTTTTATTCTTTACTCCTGCATAGACTCTGTCTGTTTGTCTAGTGACTGTTTCTCTCGCTAGTTCACCTTTGTATGGGCCCAGATACACAGTTTTCCGGTGTATTGTATCTACCAAGCAATTCCACAAGTTGAGGCTTGTTCCTGGTCTCATTTATCTCCAAATTCGTTTCATAACAGAAAATTGAAAAAGCTTTTCTTATGAGCGCACTTTTGAATTGCGGGACTTTGGGCGTCAATCCCCCGTGGAATGAACTATAATTTTCGGTGGGTGAGGTAGGAAGGAGGTGAATTTTCCGCAATTTGGATAGAAACATTTCGTTTCAACACCAAAATATTAAGAGCATTTCATTTGTAAACACAAAAGGTTTGCTGTCCACAGAAAATCGAGTGACCTCAATAGCAGTTAACATTTGATAAGATAAACAACGTTTGAAATCAAAACCATTGATGTCGTTATAAGTCAAAACCATTGATGTCGTCATAAGTCTTCAAAAAATCACCTTATTTTTCGGAGAACTGACAGATGTAGGTGAAAAAGAATGGGTGCTTAGAATAAGATTTCCCGGGACATTACACTTAACTATGAATGAACCAATTAAATGAAAATCATCCAATAACTGCCATACAAATGAATACAGTTCAGTTCATTTCCTGTAACCATTAGCCATGCACTTTCGTGCGCCAGTTTCGGTTGCCAATTTGAATAATACAGTAAAATGAAGATTATAATGTTGAGAGTAGAATCAAGAAGAAGATAGCGACTTTATACGGACTGATGTTACAAGAATAATGAGTAGCTGCATGAACGCCACTGTTCCCGACTCCCAGCCATATCGCTCAGTGTCTGTAACCATCGGTGACCTTGATCTCGGAGTCCCCAGCCAGGGAGCCTAAAAAGGACCTATGTGAACCAGTTACCATGGTCAATTAGATCCTACTTTGGAGAACTTGCATAATCCCCCGTTGGTTTGGCGCCTTGGAAAGGCTCAATAAGCCTAGGGATGGGGGGTCTCCAAGGCTGTGTATGGTCGCTATTCCGTTGCATCTCGCGAAATGCTCTTATACAACCAAGTATCTTAAATATCCTCTGCTGCAGAAGCCCTACTCATTGTCTCCCAGTGGTGGAGGATTTCCCACCAAAGAGACGGATAAAAAGCCAGCATTCGAGGCCATGACCCTATTGGTGAAGCTCGAACAATTCACCTAGGGCAACTGACCAAAATCCCCAAGTACAAACCAACCAATAAGAGGTGTAGGAACCACAAAAACACAGACCCTCCTGGTTTTGGCAGTGGTCAGCAGCTGCTGATTGAGGTGAATTGGGCACCTTGAATGTTTGACCCGGTGAAAGGATGAACTGGACATCAACCACCAATGAACTGCGGTTTTAAACATTGTCTGTCGGGTGAAGCTTCGGTGGTAAATTCCCCAAGAAAACTTCCCTGCTTTTATTTAGGCAATCTAACACTGTCGCGTCCACGAACGTTTTCTGTTTATTAATATTATTGCGCCGCGATTTTATTTCACAATGAGTAGTAAGCACGTGACTAAAAAAAAATTTCCCTGGAAGCAAAGGACCGGTTTCACGGTTCTTGCTGCTCGCCAGGCATGCGTATCCGGTAATGTTTTTTCAGTTCATTCATATA